ACTATTTTGGTACTGACATTCTGATTAAGCTTCTCTCTGTATGGTGATTGTTTGTCTGTACACAGGAGACACACTGACAGAGGAAACCGAGATACAGCTGCCTGAGAATATGATTGAAGGATCTGCCCGCACTTTTGTATCAGTCCTGGGTAAACCTGATCATTTTTAATTAAATGAGTTTAGATTAATCCAGAAAGAAATATAAGAAGTTTATTTTTTCAATCAATAGTGAATTAATATAAAAGACAAATACAATTGGACTGGCATTGTTTTTGCCTAGTTTTGAAACACGCTATTAAATGAGACTCCAACAGTTTTGTAGTGTAGAAAATAGTTTAGAAACTACATTCCAATAACAAAGTGCAAAATATTATAATTTAGTATATAGAGTTTTTTATAACCTGCTGTATTTTTCTAAATATTTAGCTTCTTTACTAGCTTCTTAATCTATTTGCAGTTCAAGTGTTCGAACGTTGTATGTTCTGTCTCAGTGACTGAGTGCCTCTGATCAGGTGACATCCTCGGCCGGGCTCTGAAGAACTTGGATGGACTGCTCCGGATGCCATATGGATGTGGAGAGCAGAACATGGCTCTTCTAGCCCCCAACATCTACATCCTCCAGTACCTGAAAGGCACACAGCAGCTCACCCCAGCCATCATGGAAAAAGCTGCGAACTTCCTGACCAGTGGCGAGTGTGTTTGTTTCATAGTGAGACTAAAATCAAAGGTTTATGAATAGAATATCTATTTAAGAGTCATTTTCCTGTTGTTACAGGTTACCAAAGACAGCTGAACTACAAAAGTGATGAAGGCGCATACACCACATTTGGAAGAGGACCAGGAAACACTTGGTGAAAATAATAATTACCTTAATATTCCATTTGCCTCAGAAACAAAACTGAGCCTGTTGGTGAAATTTACTCCTTAAATCTCCCATCCTATTATCATTTTATTTCTGGACATGGAGAAAATCAACTCACATTATAATGGCATAACTGTGACACATTTTGATATAATTTCGAAACATGAGGAAATTTTCTTTTGGGTGCTTTTTTATGTCAGGCTGACTGCTTTTGTGATGAGAAGTTTTGCCAAAGCTCAGTCTTTTGTCTACATTGATCCAAAAATCATTCAAGAATCTAAGACATGGCTGGAAAATAAACAACAAACAAATGGCTGTTTTAAAAAGTCAGGCAAACTCTTCAACAACAGAATGAAGGTAAGTCTATACTTTAGCTGGACACTGATACTAATTCTGTGTGGAGAGAAATTCTGGCAGCACACAGAAATAACTTGGTTTCACTCACCAGGGTGGTGTGTCTGATGAAGTGACTCTCAGTGCATACATCACTGCTGCTTTCTTGGAAATGAATATATCCCAACATGTGAGTAGTTGTTTCAAACGACTGCTATACCCTGTATAAAATGCGTTGAGTAGATGTAGTGAAATAAATCAGTGGTCTTGTGATACAGCATAGATCCTCTTTATTCCACGAGCGTGGAACCATCGGTATCCTTGCATCTGTACATTAGCAGCCATTTCCTTTTATACAAATCTAACCACATGCAGCTTTCTGCACCACTTTCTGCTTTTCAGTGTACTTGTACTTACTGCCACGCTGTTTTTATTGCTACAATGACATCAGTTCCTTCCTTGTTACTAAAACTGAGTCTGAAGTACGATTTCACTAATTCAGAGAATAAAGCAACCGTGGCAGTTTGTCCTGAAACAACTGTGATATCCACATTTCTGCTTTTGTCTCAAAATACATTTTCAAATTTAACCTTGAAATTTAAAGTTTATTTTCAAAATGATCAGTATTTCTTTCTCTTAATGTGACCTCACAGCCAAACATTTCCATCGTTGTAAGACGTGTAAGTGTTGTTTTCTTTCTGTCAGGCTGACTGCGTTTGTGGTAAGAAGTTTTGCCAAAGCTCAGTCTTTCATCTTTATTGATCCCAGAAAGATCGAAGAGTCTAAGACCTGGCTGCAACATAAACAACAAGAAAATGGCTGTTTTCAAAAGTCTGGGAAACTCTTCAACAACGGAATGAAGGTAACCTGCAGTTCTTCGCTGTTAGACTGTGGAAACAGCCTCCAGTCTGGATTTAACAAATTTTATTAATAATGTCATGCATACATGGAAAACACTGTACTACATACTGTAATAGCTCACACCAGTATATTCTATTATTTTATTTAAGAAATAATTTCCATACATCTTGTTCCATTCACACCAGCACTGCTTTCTATCTAGCATTCACACATATTTATACTAAATACAAAGTATGCACTAGAGACCAACTTGGGATTAGTATATTGCCCACAAATATTTGGCATGCAGGCTGGAGCAGCTGGGAATCAAACCACCAACCTTCTGATTAGTAGATGACTACACAAACTGTTTATAAGGTTGGAAACCCGAGGTGAAGAAACATCCATCTCACTGGAAATACAATGTCCAGATGAACAAAATCAACTTCCTGTTCATCTCTTTAGCTGGATGTTTGAACATGCATGAAGACATTGATGATACTAAAACCACATGCAGCTGAAAATCATTTTCATGACTTCATATCCCTGAATGTTGGTGCACTGATGATAAAGTGTCTATGATGTCTTCTGTTGACAGGGTGGTGTATCTGATGAAGTGACTCTCAGTGCGTACGTTACTGCTGCCTTCTTGGAAATGAATACATCCCAACATGTGAGTAGAGTCAAAGAATATCAAGGTATTCAACAAAAAAAGGAGTAGAGTTTGAGCTGCTGAGCCATGGAGTTAGGTTTAACCAGCAGTCTAGCACCCTGCTGGTATGTGCTGGATTGTCTCTGGGGCATCTTTACACAGCCTGCACCTGGGGTCTTGCCTGGTGTGATAGACCCCAGCCTCTATGGATCTTGTACTCAGAGCTTGTTCTTGTGCTGCCATGATTAGTGCCTCTGTGCTGTCTTTCAGTCCAGCTTTTTCCAGCCACTGGTAGGATTTCTGGGTATCATCTACTTCCTCTATCTGCCGGTGGTAACATACTGTGCAGGGGCCTGTCCTTCCATGATGCTTCCTCGCCTTCCTCCTCTTTCTTGAGTTTCTGCTGCCTGAGGTATTCACTGAGCACGCGGTCAGTTGGGGCCATCTTCCTCGTACTCGTGGATATTCGTTGTTTCATCTTGGAATGTGGTGCTGACACTCACCAGTCCCTGGCCTCCTTCCCTCCATTTAGCATGCTGGACTTGGGGTGAAACCCTCCATGCATGGTTAGGAACTTTCTTGTCTTGATGTCAGTGGCTTCTATCTCCTCCTTTTGCCAGCTTATTATCCCAGCAGGGTACCTGATGACGGGCAGGGCGTAAGTTTTGATAGGCCGGATCCTGTTCTAACATTCAGCTGACTCCTCAGGATTTGCCTGACCCTCTGCAGGTACTTGGTGGTAGCAGCTTTCCCAGCAGCCTCTTTGTGGTTCTCATTTGCCTGTTGGATCTCCAAGTACTTGTAGCTGTCCTCTATGTCTGCAATGTTGCCTTAGTTCGATTCCCTCAGTTCCGCCTACGTTTCCTCTCTTTGTTGTCATCCGACTACATTTCTCCAGTCTGAACGATATTCCAATGTCGTTGCTGTATATCCTGGTGGTGTGGATCAGTGAATCGATGTCTCGTTCACTCTTGGCATACAGCTTGATGTCATCCACGTACAGCAGATGGCTGACAACTGCTCTATTCCGTAGTCAGTATCCGTAGGGACAGAGCATCTCCTTGATAGATGGTGATTGTGCTATGGGCTTGAAGGTGGCCTCTAGTGTTGTATGCCATTTCCCATTGAGTTCTTGATGAAGGCTCTTAAAGTCCTGTTGATCTTGTACAGGTCTAGGCATTCCAGGATTCAGCTGTGGGGCATTAAGTCATAGACCCTCTTGTAATCAATCCAGGCAGTCTCGGCTGATTGTTACAAGTAGCTGGTGTTTTGCACCTCTGGTATTCTTGCCAATGAGTGGGGTACAGGAACATGTGTCTGTTCATCTTAGCCACTATGATGCCTGACAGGAGCTTCCATGTGGTACTGAGGCAGGTTATTGGTCAGTAGTTGGATGGGACCGATGGGACCGATCCCTTCAGGACTGTCCGCCCTACAGTTAGCCATTCTGGGTGTCTGTCGTCAACTAACAGCTGGTTCATTTGTGCTGCCAGATGCTCATGGAGTGCAGTCAGCTTCTTCCACCAGTAGACGTGAGCCATACTAGTGTATGGCAAGGTGCTGGCCAAGGCTGTTAGTCGTTGCTTGGCAGTTTCCATGGACAGCTTGCTAAACTTCTTCTTGGGCACCGTCTTTGTCACACCTTTCTGCAGCTCCAATAGTTGGCTAACCTCCCTCCTTGATCTTAGCCTCTAGTCTCCTTCTCCTTGTGGCTGTTCAACCTGTAGCCAAGCATCTCTCTGATCACTGCTGCTGTACTGTAGATCAGCTTGTTAGTCTCGATAATCGTGGCTGTATGTATCGCATTTACATCATCTAGCAGATCTTCACATCTTGGTAACCAGCTACGGGGATTCCAGTTTTCAAGTTTTGCCATGATCCTATCTTTCAGGTCACTTCCTCTCGCACTATAGCACTTGGGGCTTGGTACAAATCTCGGGTGGAGGTGATGACATCTCCCCCCCTGACCTGTCGTCCTGGCTCCCCCTTGCCGTAGCATTTGTGTTGCACCTCGTCAATCTCTAGCTGTGAGAGCAATACCCTTCTTTCGAATGTTGGAACACTGTGCTATTAGTGTTTTCGCCGTCAATGTGGATGCTGGGTATCGAAGATTCCATAGGTCCCTCATCCTATTCATGTACCCCTTCTGCCAGGGTTACTTGTATAGCAGCAGTTCCAACAACGCCCTATTTTCATCTCTTGCCCACCAATGCCTTCTTGTTCCAGTAGTTGATCCGGGCGACGTCCGAGCTGGTATGCATATATAAATACATACACAAAAGTGTATAAACCAACAATATAATATACAATCTAATATATATATTACATATACCCCAAAAAGTTGATTCTGTTCATCTGGATGTTTTCAGTGGGAGAAACGTTTCGTCACTCATCCAAGTGACTTCTTCAGTCTCAGCTGACTGCAGGTTTCAATCTTATAAACAGTACATTTGCATAATGACTGAAACCAGCCCACTGAAGGAACAATGGGCTGGGAGGTCAGTTCCTTAATCTTAATTATGCAAATTCTCATGACCATTGATCAACAACCACTGACCAAAACCCACTGATCAAAGACCACTGATCAATGGCCATGAGTACCATTCACAGAGAGTTGGGGAATGGCTGCAATCACATCATTGTAAGATGGCGAAAGATGTACCCTTAGGCCCCCTCCTCGATTCAGAGATGGTCTTTCCCTTTTCACGTAAATGGCCTCCTTGACTCCGCGCTCAAACCAGCGTTCCTCCCTGTCCAGGATGTGTACATCCTCATCATTGAAAGAGTGTCCACTGGCCTGTAGGTGTAATAGACTGCAGAGTCCTGGCCTGACGAGGTGGCTTTTCTGTGTTGTGTCATCCGCTTTGCCAGAGGTTGTTTGGTTTCCTTGATATATAAACCCTGGCAATCCTCCTGGCACTTAACAGCGTGCACTATGTTACTCTGTTTGTGTCGGGGTGGAGCAGTTTTAGGCGCAGCGTGTTTTGGGGTTTAAAAGCCACAGAGACACAGTGTTTAGAAAAAAATGTGCCTCAGCTGTTCTGATACTCCTGACACATACGGGATCACTACAGGTTTTCACATAGGCAGCAGCTGTCCTTCTCTCCTGGATCGGCTGGAGCTTAGGTTTACGGTACACATCAGCTTTTAAATGTCCTCCATTCCTGATGGAAATCTCACAGTCTAAGAAGACTAACCTGACACTTTTCATATCCTCCCTGGTGAATTTGATGTGTCGTTCCACCGAGTTAATGTGAGCTGTGAATTGTGGAACGTCCTGAGAATTGATTTTCACCCAGGTGTCATCCACATACCTGAACTCTCACCAGCAAGGACTGGTATCACCACCCAACCTGTACAGTGTTTTTTCAATATGTTCTTTATATTGTAAATACTACTAGCAGATTGCTCCAGTCTTTGCTTGATCTGTACTTTCCTCTAATTGCTGTGTTTTCTATTATCACGCTGATGTTTTGAGTGACTGAATCAGGAACTCTGCCTCCTATTCTTCTCACACTGGGTTTAATGAAAGAAGGTTTCTGTTTGTCCATTAAAGTTCTTTGTTGTGATCTTTTAAAGGATCCTGTGATGAACAAGAGCCTGGCTTGTCTCAAGGAGTCTCTCAG